GCATCCCGCTGAGTCCCCCGTGGACCAGGTTGAGCGTGTCAGCATCCCGCTGAGTCTCCCGTGGACCAGGCTGAGCGTGTTGGCATCCTGCTGCATATCCCGTGGACTGAGCTGAGCGTGTCAGCATCCCACTGCATATCCTGTGGACCAGGCTGAGAATGTCAGCATCCTGCTGAGTCCCCCGTGGATCAGGCTGAGCATGTCGGCATCCTGCTGCATATCTCATGGACTGTGCTAAAGCACGTCAGCGTCCCACTGCGTATCCTATGGACTCGGCTGAGCGTGTTGGCATCGTGCTACATATTCCGTGGACCAGGCTGAGCGTGTCAGTGTCCACTGAGTCCCACAGGGACTGGGCTGAGTGTGTCGGCATCTCGCTGCATATCCTGTGGACCGGGCTGAGCGTGTCAGCATTGGGTTGCATATCCTGTGGACTGAGCTGAGGGTGTCGGCATCCCACTGAGTTCCCTGTGGACCGGGCTGAGTGTGTCAGCGTCCCGCTCACATCCTGTGGACCAGGCTGAATGTGTTGGCATCCCACTGCATATCCTGTGGACCGGGCTGAGTGTGTCAGCGGTCCACTGAGTCCCTTGTGAACCAGGCTGAGTGTGTCAGTGTCTTGCTGAGTATCCCCGTGGGTTACGTGCACACTCTTGCACACGCACATATCACTCGTAACAGACATCAACTACTTTCTGATGGGAAGAAAATCAATGTACCTAGTAACTAAAATCATAAAATTGCTGGGACACTCACGTCACCATGAATGTGATATTCTGAAAACGTCAGGGTGTTCCCAATCTAGCTCTGTCTAACAAGCTCTGAGACGCCACAAGGCAGCAGATCTGCAGTCTCGGCCCGAGGGCCCCGCATCCAGGTGCTTGGCGTTGATGCTTCCCCCCTGCAGGGAAGCTGCTCTGTCCTTCCACTTCCTGCAGCTGAGGAACACTGGCTCTGAACGGGTACCGTGCTGAGGAAAGGTAGGCACCGGTGAGGTAGCACTCACTGCGCTGGCCAGTAAGACACATGGGATGATGACAACGCAGTACCGTGAAGAGAGCTGTGTGACACGCTGTCAAAGCCCAGGGCCTGTGCATTATCACAGGAGGCCTGGCGCTCTGTGCACCTGCAGGCACTTACCTGGGCACACTGCCACCTGCCAGGCGCTGCTCGCTGGACCAGGAGGCCGTGGGCTTTGGCTCTGCTTCAGCTTCCAGGGCCTCGGCCTCCCTGCTCAGTGGCTTCCCCTTCTCTTCCTCATCAGGTTTCTTCTTCTCACTGTCACTGTCATCACTGCCTTCTCCTAAGATGTCATCCACCTGACAATCAGCAAAAGTCAGCATGTTTAGGGTTATTTTCTAAAGATGCCACTCCACTTGCCCCGCTCCCCAGGGAAGGAAAACTGCACGCGGGCTTCATTGCCAGATGCAGCTTTCCACCACCACCCACCATTCCTGCAGTGGACCAGGCAACTGCACTCACACGACACACGAATACTGGATCTGAGGGTACACATGGCCAATAGTGAACGTGCCCTTTCCAGAGACACACAGAGGAGGACACAGCAGCAACCTGTCGTGCAGAGCTTTCCCTGACCCCTGTGGTGTGGCTCTGTCACTGTGTCATGTGGCTGGATTTTGGCCACACCTGGAGCCTGGCTGCTGCATGCCCTCAGCACTTCTGCAACATCTACCACTTCACTGCTTCCCAGACTTACCTGAGAGGTTGGATTTGCCACAATCCAACATATAGTGAAGCTCCTCCCTCTCACAAAAGACTGAAGACAGGGAGAGCCAGCTGCTTATTCTTCCCCTATTTTAGGACTGTGTGTGTGAGCTGTTTGTGGAAGGACCACCTGGCTCTGTGGTATAAGCTGTTTGAGAAAGGACCACGCGGTAGGAGCTGAGGGAGGACCATGTGGCTCTGTAGGGTGAGCTGCCTGAGGGAGCACCACATAGCTCCTTGGGGTGAGCTGTCTGAGGGAAGACTGTGTGGCTCTGTGGGGTGAGCTGAGGGAGGACCATGTGGCTCCATGGGGTGAGCTGTCTGAGGAAGGACCACATTACTCTGGAGTGTGAGCTGAGGGAGGAACAATGGCTCCACAGGGTGAGAGGTCTGAGGGAGGACCATGTGGCTCTATGGTATGAGCTATCTATGGGAGGACCACGTGGCTCCGTGGTGTGAGCTGAAGGAGGGAGGACCACGTTACTCGGTGGTGTGAGTTGCACGGTATGAGCTATCTGTGGAGAGGACTACATGGCAGCTTCGAGGAGCTGAGGATCTCAGTCTTACCACCACAGAACTGAACGCTACCAGTACGTGAACCTGGAGGAGGCCTTGAGCTCAGAAAGAACTGCAGCCTGTCCAACACTTTGAGTCTTATGAGACCCTGAGCGAAGGTCCCACCACACTGTGCCTGGACTTCTGACCCATGGGAACTGTGAGGTAATAATGAATGAGTGCTGTTTTGAGCACTTACATTTGTGGTAGCTTGTTTTGCAGTGAAGACTAACGTACCAGTCAAAATATATTTTTGTTAAGTGAATCATGCCAATTAAGAAGATACTTTCATGAACATAAAAATTCAAGGGTCAAGAAAGAAATTTTATGACATGTGGAAAAGAAACATGGACAGCTGACCCGAGAGATTCAGAAATCACTCCTCATAGGAGCCAGACGTGAGCTGTGTGATCTGAACACTGCCCTCAAGACACTGACGACGGGCAGCATGTATGTTCCCAACCGTGCTTTATGCAAACCAGGCACTCTGCAATTCACTGACAAACTTCTGAATTTAGAGAATGATCATGACAACTCTTTTATAGAACAACAGGTAGCACCGTAATCTTTCTTGCATACAGACTTTCACACACAGTGAAACTTCAAACCACTAACACACAGTTCAATAACCAAAATCTTTAAGAAAGAAACATTAAAGCCCACCATGATAACATTAGGAAAAGGGAGGACGTTGAATTGTACACATAAGACCTAAATGAAAGAGGTTAATATAAGTATATCCACAATACAAAATTTAAAATGAATAAATAAATATATAAATAAAAAAATGAAGTCCACAGAGAGACTGAAGCGTCCTGCCAATACCGCAGACCCTCCTGAGAGCAGAGACGGGTGTTTGTCAGGGGCTCTGCCGGCGGGGCCAGGCGGGGCCTGGCGGGAAGGGTGTAGACCCGCCTCAGGGGGTGTTTGGGATGACACAGGAGGCCAGGTGCACTGGAGTTTCCATGCACACCACACATGGTGGAGCCCTCCAAGCCTCCCTCCCAGCAGGGAGCAGCAGCACACCCCCGGGGTACAGGTGTAACAGAAGGGTGATTTGCAGAGGTGTGTTCAAGGTTAAAGGACACCAGCCCTTCTGCCACCCTCAACTCTGAGACCCTTCTCTGCAAACACTGACTGCTCCAATATTTGACTGTCCCCAAGGACATGATCCCATGTCCTTACTACCCTACAGTGAAACTCACCCGTCTATACTGAGAGCAGCCCCACCTGTCTACACTGGTAGTGTCCACTCAGCTCTTACTGCGTCCTTTAAAATGAGAACAGAAGGCCAAGGGTCTCCGACACTGGAGGAAAGCCCTAACTGGCAATGGCAGGACCAAGCCCGGCAGACACAGGAAGGGTCTTATGTAGTGAGTCGGGGGCACTCAGACAGGGAAAGAACAAGGAGCGGAAGGGCTGGAGGGCCGAGCTGATGCCATCTCCTGGACACGGCAGAGCTAGGAAGCAGAGTAAAGAGACACGCACCAAGGTCCTGCCCGAGGGCAAAAGGCTTTCCAGAGACAACAGAGGATGTGGGGGAGGTGGGGATGGGACACCAGGACATCTAAGAAATGACCCTGAAAAATCCCCCAGAAGTAGAGCCCCCGCCACAGGGGGTACCAGCCCACTTCTCAGCAGCCGTGGCCAGGAGAGAGGCCAGTGTGGGAGACCCAGGCTCGGGAGGTGTCCCCCTGGAGCTCAGAGCACCAAGGCAGCCTGAAGGCAGAATAAGGCTGTCAGGTCCAAGGAGAAAATCTCCACCCACAGCTAGGGAATTCTGGGACTCTGTGCAGGCACACCGTTTCTGTAGAGACACAAGCACGCAAAGCCGACCTATCACTTCCAGGAAGAAGTAAGTGCTGAACAAGAAATGAGACGGGTCCCGGGATGCTGCCACTCAGAGTTGAACCAATTGACACCAACTCTGCAGAGGAGACGCGCAGGAGTGGGAGGGGCAGCGGGAGAACAGCTGGGGGACCCTCAGGGGTCCACACCAACGTGGGGATCCACACTGACGTGGGGGGCTGGGGCATGGACCCCAGGGGTCCACACCGACGTGGGGGTGAGTATGGGAGCACAAGGGAGTGCTGCTGCTTCCGTCACAAGTCTGTGTTGCTGTTTACCTTTGAAAGTTACACACATGCCGCTGTTTGATAAAAGTATAAAAATTAAATTGAGAAGATTGAAAACCTGAGATCAGGCAGCAAAAAAGAAACCAAGAAAACCCCAAACTAGCTGCGATCGTGTCACCTCTGACTGCCGGTGCCCCCCGTGTCTGGGCAGAACCACACCCCACAGGGTTTTCCACGGCTGGATGTTAGGGAGTCAATCACCAGTCCCTTCCTGAAAGGTGCTCTGGGTGACATGAACCATCAACCTTTTGGTTAGCAGTTGAGCGTTTAACTGCTTGTATTACCCAGGAGAAGACCTTGTCTTTAAACAAGCAAAACAGCATGAGAAAGTCTGACCGCTGTAGGCAGAGGCAAGGGACAGAATGACCCGAAAGACCCAAGAAAGTATGGGCACTAGGTACGCAGGTCCACAAAGCTCAGGACCTCCTCTCTGAAGTTCCACAGATTCAATTTACACTGGAACCCATTCTCCATCTCTGCAATGCTAAAGAAGTCAGTCACCAGGGTGTACATGCAGGACTCCATTTTAACAAAATCCCACCCCCTGGTTGAGCTGGTCTGCATCACAGAGTGGCTGCTGGTGTCAGAAGTGGTGGTCTGGGGCCTGCGAAGGGTGACACTGCCCGGCATGATGGCACGGTTCTGTCTTGGTTGTGGTAGTGGTTACATGTGCTAAACATCTGTCAGGAGACAGCACACAGTACACTGGAAACACATGCTATGGTATCAAAATTACACCTCAATACACCCGAGGGTCTACTATGTGCCAGGAGCTGCTGGGTGGCACTCTCAGTGAGGCGCATGACCTCAGAGGCACCTCGGCAGACAGGCCTGGCCGTCCGCTTCTGAAAGGTAACGGCCCTGAGAACTCGATGGAATTTTGTTCTGCACACGTGGGGGTGCCAGCAGTCAACAGCGGCTAACCGCAACGACAAAGTTGACTTAAAGCACAAAACTGGAACCACAAGGTTCGATAAAAACTGAGGTTCACACAAGACATCTTAAAGACACCCCATCTGCTCTTCACTTTTCCTTTCAGAGAAACTTTTTAGTTTGTAACTTCCTTAAACTTTTATCCACCTTACGTTCCAGTCTTGCAGGTGTATTCTCAGTTTGCACAGGTGCACTGACGGCCACCACAATGCAGCAATGCGTCCACCCTCAGGAAGCCCGTGTGGTCAACGCCCTGCCCGGCCCTGATACCCACTGGCCTGTGCCCTGGGGTCCTACCTTTTCTAGAAAGTCACAGACAGCACATGTGGGATGTGCCTGCAGCCTGCCTTCTGCCCTCAGCACAACGTGTGTGAGACCATCCATGTCCAGGCTCCCTGCTTCTCTCTGCTGATTACCCCACTGCAGGCTGCTCCACAAACATCTGGCCTCCAGTGTCTGGAGACTCAACAAAGAGGCTTCCCTTCTTTACAGGAAACATATAGCCACTATTCGTGGGATTGCTGGACCACATTAAGGGCAAGTTCCCCCAAGCAATCCTCCACTGAGCATGACAACAGGCCTCACTGGACACACTGCAGCTTTGACTCACATTCCCAGTGAGGAGATCAGGCTTCTCTTCATCAGCTTACCTGCTGGCCATGCACTTCTGGGCTGAAGTATCTGTTCACGATTTTGCCCACTTTGCTACTGGGCTGTTTGTCTCCCTACAGTTGGGTTTTGAGAGTTCTCTGTATTTTCTGGATACTATGCTTTGTAATGATTTTCTCCCAAGTTTACCATTTCATTCTTTTAACAGTATTTTTCACAGAGGTAAAGTTGTAAAATATGATAATTACCAATTATTATTACTATTTTTTAATGCATCCTTTTTGGTGTTCTAAGAACTCACTTCCTGAACCCAGGTCACAATGTCTCCTTATTTTCTTCTAGCAGTTTCATATTTTACATTT